GCCAGCCTATGATTTTTTAAAAATTCACTCTTACTAGTTCTACTTTGTCTGTGGTTTGTTAAGGTTTATATTATATTAGAATCATGCATTAGCTTATTACAATTTACCTTCCAGTGATACTTCACATGTGAGAACCTTGCAGGTAATGTACTTCTGCTCCACTTTTCTGGTCTTTGTGCTGCAGTTGTCGTATGTTTTACTCCCACAGTTGTAATAAACGCCAGTCTACTGTTGTTACTTTATTTTACTGAGTTATTTTCTAAAGCAGTGTTTCTCAATTTCAACACTGTTGACATTTTGAGCCGGGCAATTCTTTGTTGTTGGGGGCCAGAGGAGAGGCCGGTCCATGCACAGGGTAGGGCGCTTAGCAGCCCCGGCCTCTACCCTCTAGGTGCCAAAAGCTCTGACCCCTCAATCTTCACAGTAAAAATGTCCCTGGGGGCAAAGCCCTCCCCATTGAGAACCCCGATTCTGAAGTGATTTTTGGAGGACATTTTTATACTTACTCACCTGTCCGTCATGTCCGTGTTTCACTCTTTCCTGCAGATTCAGATTTCCGTCTGGCATCATCTTCTTCCGCCTCAAGAATTTCCTTTTACATTTTGTACAGTGCCCGTCTTCTGGTGGTAAATTCTCGTCTTTGTGTGTATGAAATATCTTTATTTCACCTTAGCTTTTCAGAGCTATTTTTACTGGTTTAGAAATCCGTGTTGTTTTCTAGCTTTTCCCATCAGTACTTTACAGATGTTGCCCCACTGTCCTGGCGTGATTTCCAGTGAGGAGTCTGCTGTCATTTGTGTCCTATGCCCCCCTCCCGACTTTGCTCTTGGTTTCTTAGTAATTTGTTTCAATGTGCCTCAGTTAGGTTTTTCCATGTTCCTCGGCTTGCAGTTTGTTGATCATTTTCCATCCCTCTCTCCTCTTCTAATAATCCAATTCTCTGTACCCTCATCACTTGCTAACACCCTAGCTTTTTCTTTTTTCCTGGTCTTGTTTGCTCCCTTTGTTTCATTTTGTATAGTTTCTAGGACACAGCTAAATTACCTGGAAGCTGTTTGAGTCTTTGGAGCTGAGCCAGGGAGAGTCTCTGCAACTCCCAGCACTTGTGGGGGCAGCACTGTCCCTCCAGTACTCTGTCTCTGAGCTCCCAGGTCGTCCTGCTCTGTGCAGGGAGACCACAGGCTCTGCCTGGACCTTTTCCCCAGGAGTGAGCTGGGCAGGCTTCAGGCTCTCCCAGGGACCATCAGCCTCTGCTGTTTACCATTCAATTGTCTGAACACTGTTGGTTTTCCTTTTTTCTGAGTTTTAAAAAATTGTTTGAGGCTTTTCATATATTTTTACTTACTTCTCCTATATGTTTTATGTATTTTTCCCAATGTTTTAGTTGTCACACTATTTTGGCTAGATGTGGAAGTTCTGCTTAATAATTGTTTATTAAATTAATGTGAAGGTATGGATTCATAATCTTGAATGAAAATCAATCTTTCCCATGTCTCTTATTCCCCTTTCACTACCATTTAAAAATAAACCCAGACAAGAGCAGGGTGGAGGAAGGCATGGTGAAGCATAGTGTGTGTTCCTCGTTCTCTGCTCATAGACACTGGCTGGTTCAAGTTAGCTGGGCTCAGCTGACCGCTTCTCAGTCTTTCTGGAGCTATCAAGAAAGAGATGGCAGTGGACAGGAGAAATAGAGTTGGGCTGGACATGGAGCAAGCAGGCTGAGCAGACTCAGCAGAGAGCGTTCTCGCTTTGCAGGTTGTGTGTTGCAGCCCTGTCAGTGAATAACTTCTGTGACAACCGGGAAGCCCTGTATGGTGTGTTCGATGGGGACCGCAACGTGGAGGTGCCCTACCTGCTCCAGTGCACCATGAGTGACATTCTGGCTGAAGAGCTGCAAAAAACAAAGAATGAAGAGGAATACATGGTCAATACGTTCATTGTGATGCAAAGGTGAGCCTCACCCTGCTGTGTTGTCTTCCTCTGCGAGGGTTTGCCCTCTGGTTAGGAAAGTAGGTGCCCAGTGGTCTCCATGCATGTTCTTGACTGTGGTGTTGCCCAAGCACTGGAACTGGGCCAGCCTCAGTCGAGATATTCTGATGTTCAGACAACTTTGGAGAAGGAGGCAGTGGCAGGGATTTAGTTTCTCTGAAATCCTGACCTTACCGGTCAGTAGTGGCTGCAGATTTTCACCAGATTGTTTGCAACTCCCTCCTTCTCCCCAGATGACTTGAGCCCCAGAGGCTTTTTGGACTTTCCAGTGGGTGGGCTACTTTTTGAAATGGGCTATTTCTATCTCAGTTTGTTGACCCTTAGGAAATACTGTCACTGGTTTGAGATAGTTCAAACCTTTGGTGAAATTGAGATGGTCAGATTTTAGGC